TCTTCGTGTCCAGGAACGAACTATACATGGAAATTTATAAATGATATCGACAATCCAGATAAAAAAATGAAAAAATTACATTTGTTTTATATGTGTTATAATATGATCATATTGTATTTAAAAATAAAATTATGACGATGGTATTGACTTATACTCTCAATATTTATTAATAAAACACTGCAAAAAATTTAGTTTAATAGTAATTTATACTTAATTCAATTTAAATAAAATTTACATTAATTTTATTGATAGAATTTTTATTTTAAAAGAAGTGATGGAAATCTAAATATATCTAATTCTTATAATCTAGAGATTCTATAATATTTAATTGATTTTATTTATATTTAATTTTTTCATTTTCATAGCAACAATTATTTGCCACTGATCATTCATATCTTTTATCCTGAACGTTTAAAAACAGATTTTATTTCAATAACATAGATTGTTTTTTCTGGAGAAAAAAAATGTAAGTATCAGATGCGTTTAAAATGCTTCTGTGTTCGTACATCCATTTTCAAAATACTAGTAAAAATAATTTAGCTGAATTGTGCATTTGATACATTATTCTGGTATGGATTTAAAGTGTAATGATTTAATATTTTTCTCACATTTAAATATATCAAATATAATTCAAAAGACTTAATATTTTTACAGTAGTTTTTAGTAGTAAACTTTAAATTTTAATATTAATGCAGAACATGTAAACAAAAAAATTATGCACGAACAACATTAAATTGATATTTTTTTGTTTTATTTAATTAAAATAAAATTGACTATTTAATTGTAAAAAAGAAAATTTTAGCATTATTTTGCTATGGCAACAAATATTCATATTTTGTTTCAATACATTGTATTCTATTCAAGCATTATTTGTCAGTTTATTGTCAAATAATTTAATTTAAAATTTTATTTTTGGAATTTTTTAAAAGCTATTTATAAATTAGCTTTATAACTACACATTTATTAATTATTATAAAATGAGCATTACATTGATATTTATTAATACAGTGATACAGTAATGAATTTCATCTTAATTTTATAACCAATCATGCTTTAAAAAAATAATTATAAATTTGTTATATTATATTATTATATTCTTTATTATACTTTAAATTTTTTGATGTTATTGCAACACTTTACGAAGTGCCTATATACGTAATTACATTAGTTTTAGCACCTATTTAATTAATTTCAATCACGACAGCGAATGATATGGACGATTGTTTCTTTTAAACTATTTGATGAAAACATTACATAAAATTGGAGTTGCATAATCATCCGAAGTTATTATATTTTTGACTGGAAATCACTAAATGAACAGACAAGCAACAAAACAGAAGTCTCCTGTACCTCTTTCACAATAATTAGGATAATCATTACACGAGGCAAGAAATATAATTTAAATTTTCCACATGGAAATAAATGTAGGAGTGTCGAACGTCTGAAATATTAAATTTATAAACTTTTTATTAACTTTATTTACGGAATTTCTTAGAACTGAGTGAAAATATTTTCATTTCACTTTCATATCCACGTTTAATGCATTACTTATGTATTTTATAAAATTTTACTCGAATTAACATAACTTTATTCCGCTTATATTATTGACAGAAAGTAAATTTTCTTACATAAATGTTCTCGAAATAAACTTATTTCAAGATTTACTTTATTGAAAAGATAATTCTCGAACACTCAAATATTTCAATTTTAAAAAGATTTCCTTGCCCTCGTACACGAATTATATATTAATTAACTAAGTTCAGTGGCACGTTATCCTATGGGGAAAAGGAGCAATTGCCTGGGGTCCTCACCGACATGAAGCGTATTAAATCAATCTTTTATAATATATATATATATATATATATTTCTCCCGAAGAAAAGTGTCTGAAGTCAACACTATATATGGGGTCTTCTGATTCAAATTAGCCTGTGCCCCATGAAGTTATAACTCGCCACTGACTAAGTTTCTTAATTCTTCTTTAATTAGGTAGAATTATTACCTCCAGATGGCTGACTCTTTAAGGCAGCAGCCTTCCGTTCTGATGGATCCGAGATCGAATCCGGGCAAGAGGCTTCCCAGGAAATTTTTGTGAGAGGTCAGTCCAGGATATCTCGGGCCTGGCCGAACCTTCGATGGGTATGGAAAACGGCCCTGTTTTTGTGCTCGCAAGGTGGAAAGATTATATTGTCTATGCCAGAGGTAGGAGCCTTCAGTGGCTTCTAGTGTGATTTGCTAAAATATATTTAAATAATATGTACTCATTTTTGAGGGCGCATGCTGAGTTGATATACTTCTGCAACTTGCAACACAATCTGCAATCTTAATTAGAAGGCCTCAACTCTAAAATGGAACCTTTGGTCTATCCTATGAATTTTATAGAGAGTATTTTAAATTTGAAACGGGTGTCTCTAAGAACACATTATCTTAATTATTTTATGTTTACTATAATGTAAGTTATATTAATTTTGAATGCTTATGAATGAAATTTCTACACAGCTTTGTCTATGTAGAAAACGTCATAATTATAGCGTCATATCATTAAAGAAATTTATGTGAAACGTTAAAATAGCTAAATATCTTGCTTATTTACAATGTGCCATATACGTCTATTTAGATTTCACGCATAATTTTTAAGCTTATGTATAAAATTCTTTCATATTAATTATAATAAAAAGCATTTAGAAGCATTTCAATCAATTTTCTTACTTTTTTACATCATTTTGAACCCGGATAAAGCTATTTAGTTTTAAAATGCCGCCATTTTTCCTTTAAAGAATACAAATATGTTTTTTAATTGATACCAACGTGGAAATTGTAAAATATACGTAAAAATATTATTCATTTGTTTCAGTTCATGACCTTCCACGTGAATTTATTTACTTGTAATCCTCAAGTGATCTTAATTACGTAACGTTAGACAAGCTGGAGCATTTAGAAAGTCGTAATCATTTATAACTTCCCGTTTACACCCACTAAACTCCATTAACTCCTATATCCTGTTGGGAAATTACATTTCCCGTAGATTAAACACTAAATGACAATTTTACAGATTTAATTAAACAAATCAATTAGAAGGCATTAAATGGGAATGATGAAGGTCCGTCTGTCTATCACGTTGTATATCTCAAATAACAATTGATTTATAGCGCATNTCTTCGGATATATATATATATATATATTTCTCCCGAAGAAAAGTGTCTGAAGTCAACACTATATATGGGGTCTTCTGATTCAAATTAGCCTGTGCCCCATGAAGTTATAACTCGCCACTGACTAAGTTTCTTAATTCTTCTTTAATTAGGTAGAATTATTACCTCCAGATGGCTGACTCTTTAAGGCAGCAGCCTTCCGTTCTGATGGATCCGAGATCGAATCCGGGCAAGAGGCTTCCCAGGAAATTTTTGTGAGAGGTCAGTCCAGGATATCTCGGGCCTGGCCGAACCTTCGATGGGTATGGAAAACGGCCCTGTTTTTGTGCTCGCAAGGTGGAAAGATTATATTGTCTATGCCAGAGGTAGGAGCCTTCAGTGGCTTCTAGTGTGATTTGCTAAAATATATTTAAATAATATGTACTCATTTTTGAGGGCGCATGCTGAGTTGATATACTTCTGCAACTTGCAACACAATCTGCAATCTTAATTAGAAGGCCTCAACTCTAAAATGGAACCTTTGGTCTATCCTATGAATTTTATAGAGAGTATTTTAAATTTGAAACGGGTGTCTCTAAGAACACATTATCTTAATTATTTTATGTTTACTATAATGTAAGTTATATTAATTTTGAATGCTTATGAATGAAATTTCTACACAGCTTTGTCTATGTAGAAAACGTCATAATTATAGCGTCATATCATTAAAGAAATTTATGTGAAACGTTAAAATAGCTAAATATCTTGCTTATTTACAATGTGCCATATACGTCTATTTAGATTTCACGCATAATTTTTAAGCTTATGTATAAAATTCTTTCATATTAATTATAATAAAAAGCATTTAGAAGCATTTCAATCAATTTTCTTACTTTTTTACATCATTTTGAACCCGGATAAAGCTATTTAGTTTTAAAATGCCGCCATTTTTCCTTTAAAGAATACAAATATGTTTTTTAATTGATACCAACGTGGAAATTGTAAAATATACGTAAAAATATTATTCATTTGTTTCAGTTCATGACCTTCCACGTGAATTTATTTACTTGTAATCCTCAAGTGATCTTAATTACGTAACGTTAGACAAGCTGGAGCATTTAGAAAGTCGTAATCATTTATAACTTCCCGTTTACACCCACTAAACTCCATTAACTCCTATATCCTGTTGGGAAATTACATTTCCCGTAGATTAAACACTAAATGACAATTTTACAGATTTAATTAAACAAATCAATTAGAAGGCATTAAATGGGAATGATGAAGGTCCGTCTGTCTATCACGTTGTATATCTCAAATAACAATTGATTTATAGCGCATACTGCTTCTTTATCACACTGTTTTTACACCAGTTTATACACTACAAACCGGTGTCTTTTAAATACATCAATAAAACCGGTTGCAGAAATTAATAATTTACAAAAAAGGGTGGGAAGGAATAAATATTTCATAAACTTCAATGTAAATTAAATTAAAATTTTATTAAACAAATCTATAAACTTTTTTTTCGGTAGACAAATTAAATTTTCAAGTGTATTTCATAGACTAAACGAAACTCTAAGTCAGGTAGTCTCTGGGTGACGCCTCATTTCCTGTGGGGCAACACAGAAAGGTGACGTCAAGAAGTCATTCACCCCACAAACGAGGCATTCAGTTTAATGGTGTCATCTACAGAAACGTTAAAATGCTGTTTTTGGTTCCGTTTTCGGCTTTCTCTTTTATCAAACATAAAAAAAGAAAAAAATCTAAACTAATATTATTTATCTCTTCTTCTTCCTGGATGAGAAATCTTTATATTTAATTTAAAAAATGACATTTTTTAAATGATTAAAAAGTAATTTATGGCAGTTAAATCTCTTAATTCGCAGAGAGAGAGAGAGAGAGAAAAAAATATGCTGTCTTCCTCTATATTATTATATAAATAATACAAAATGTGAAATAAATATAAATGAATACTTTGATAAATAAATAAAGTAGATGATGATTGTAGTGAAGTGACTAATTTTCTTCTTCTTCCGTCTCGATGAACAGTCCTAAAACTGAAAAATTAACTATAATTAATCGTGTGTTTGGTAAAGACATTTGTAATTATAGTTATTAGTAACATAAAAGTAAAAATGGACAAGAATTAAGGTGAAAAAACAGAAAATACACTAACAATTAACCTGTATCTTCATTAAAATGTTTGCATTTGTGTTAATGAGTATTGTGACTCTTCTTACGAACCAATTATTATGTTAAATACAGTATGATGAGTCAATTCTATGTAAATTTCTATTCCCACCTCACAATTTTTACAATACATTTAACTTTAATGTGATTATAATTAAGTTACGATTGTATTATTCCATTAAACTAGCGTTATTTTTCATGTATTGTATTAGTGACAACTACACTTAACTGTTTTGAAAGTTTAATTAGCATAAAGCGATAATAGTAAATGAATTATGCTAATTAAACGGGAGGAAGAAAGAGAAACGTAACTTACCACACGATATTTAAATTAGATCATACAAGGTAACTGAACGTATCTTAAAGAGAATCCATATTGCGAGTGATTGGCATTTAATCTTGCATTGTTATTGCTTCTGACTTTCAGCATGAACGGTTTGCTACGAGCTGTAAAACGTCAAAATACGTAAGATGGAAAAGTAATTTTCTGCAGAAGGAAAACAGCAAAGTGTTACTTACACAAAACGGAATTAGTTGTGAGCAATCTGGTGCCACAGAATCTGTCTTCTCCCGATCCGTATCCACTGATTGAACCTTGATCTATACCTATGAAGTCATCTTCGTTGCACACTGTTCCGCTGTAACCCCCGTCGAATGGCTGACCCCACGAAAACGAACCAGGTGATTCCGTTTCCCATTTTATGGAGCAGAAATTCTCTTCTACTCTGACGCAAACCGTGTATCTCAAGTTACTCAGGTACCTCACTTTGTTTCTCTGTAAAGTTCCATAATTAAAGCTGCGTACCAATTCGCTGGGACTACGATAGTACTGAAGGCATCCCGAAGGAGCTACAAGGAGAGAAAATATATATAGTCCTATTATTCTGGAAAAAAGACGTAAAATCTACATTATAAAGTCAACCTAATCATTAGAAGGGGAGGATGACAATTATATTTTTTTAGGCTCACCCATGTCTAAACTTCCGCATTCGATCATGGTTATTTTGATTTTCCACATTCGTGACATCTTATCTCCATTGCTAACAACACTGAGGACTACTGGATTTCCGGAACCTCTACCCATATCCACGTACACTGCAAGATAATAGCTTTGTTTACCTGTTATGACATATAATAAAATGGCTTCTTAACTTATATAAGAGTAGCTCGATTTAGAAACACTCTTCTAAAGCAGGTTAATTTCAACGGACACCCACATCTTATGTACTTTCCATGAATACACGTAAAAATAGCTATTTGTCTTTAAGGTTTCGCATTGTTATAGATTTACAGATTGCTGACTCGGCAGTTTATTCTACGAAATTTTTCATTACAGTTTAATTTAATTTTCTCTAACTCCAATTTAATTTCTCTAACTCCCATCTAATTCTTTAACCACTGTTTGAATTATTTAAAGAAGCCGTATTCATCAAGTGTTTAGCTCATGTTTCTAGCAAAATCCGCTTACAATAGGCAACAAAGAAAAATTAAAATTCTTGGATTATAAATATGCATAGATTCGAAACTACTCACTTTCCAAGAAACTTTTCATGGCGGACAATAAGAAATATCAATATAACATTTAGAATTTTAATTTTTATAACTTTAAAATCAAATAATAATGACAATAATACGATAAATATTTTAATTGTGGATATAAATATTCAGACTTTTGCTCGTGTCAAACAAGTTTTAATTGATTTTTATCAATAACTTCATATACGATAAAACCTCCGTAAATCGGATTCGCACGGTATTAAATACTTTCCCATTTTAGTACGGTTCTGTTTTGAACAGGTTTTACTGTAATAGTACTTATTTTATCACTACTTTTTATAATTTTTTTAACTATATTTACAATTGATATCAACAGAAGAATTAAATTTAAATTTTTAATATTTTATATTATTATTATGTCATTTTAATATGAGAAAACTTTAGCATGTATGGCAGTGAAACCTGTTAATAAAACGGAAACCTGCCCAAACGGGAAAAATTTTTCGGTTTGTTCGTTCGTGTCCGGTTTACACAGGTTTTACTATATGTGAAATAATAATCGTATTGAAGAGAAAACTATAGCGTACAGTAATTTAAACTTTACCGGATAGTATATAATACAGTAAAACCTGTGTAAGCCGGATTCGCAAGGTACCGAATTTCCATTTAGCGGATTTCCATTTTGAACAGTACATACGTTAGTAGACGGGCCATAGATGTGAAAATAAATTATGTAACTGTATACCTTGGCATATATCTTGGCATTTAACTATTGATAAATATAATCATGACATATAAACATGTAACCTATTTTTGGTGGATCCAACTTATCATCTATCTGATAACAGGATCATTATAAAGGGTCTTCCGTTTTAACAAGTTTTACTATACTGCGAGTATTAAAGTCACCGTATCGTATATACATACGAATATTAATTAGTAGCTGTATACTCTAATACCAAGATATATCCTGGTGTACTTGATAAAAATATCACATAAGGATAACAAATAAACGTTAATTACGGTGTTGTCCCTTGTTGACTCCACACATGATGGGCAGTCTGGCTCCGACAGTGGTACGAACCATAAAAGAATCTGTAGTGCATTGTCCATTTTCATCCGGTTGGGACAGGTTGAACTCGATCAGATCCAGTCTGACTTGACAGATGTTTTCCAACTTCTCGATGGTCACTTGACACGTGTCCGTTCCATTCTCGACGCTCGGATAATTGGGATTAACGAAAACGGTTTCGTTCTGCTTAGTGACTCCTCCGCACGTGAATTTAACTGAGGGTAGATATTTTTTTAATCGTTAGAATTCCGATTTTCTGCGCGTGACAGAGCGCGTTTTTTTCCCCTTGACTTACACAAGCAGCACGAGCTAAATCCCCTGGCACACGATCCAATAGTCGCACCGTCTCTTCTGACGCACTCTGCGTAACTCATGCAAACTCCCTCGTCTCCATTATCTCCTGTGCAGGCCGAATTTTGATACCGAAAAACTGTCAAAATGTCACCTGATACCAAGCAAAAACATCAATTTTCGAGAATTTAAAAAAGAAATTCTATTAATATTTAATTCTACAAAGTAAACTATATATAAAAATGTGTTTTAAATACAGAAAAAGTATTATTAATTAAACAACTTTTAATTAACTCTATATAAATTTAAATTTAAATTCGTCTTAACGACTGTATTCAATTACTATTGGTTATTTCAAATTTTGATGACGTAATAATACTCTCCAGAACTTGACGTATTGAATGTTATTAAGTAAATATTTTTTAAAATATTTTAATCATAATTTATAAAATAAAATGGTTAGAATACTTATTTTTAATAATAATATTAAAAAATTTATAATTAAAAAAAAATTATTAAATATGAATAAGGCGTCAAAATGGATATTGTCGCCATCTGTTATCGTGAAACACAATTAAAATATCTTAAATGATTATTTCGATAAATAATTAAATACAGGTCAAGCTTTTAATACTGAGATATATAAAAAAAAATAATTATTTTTAATATAAATATTCGTAACTTGCATAAAATGTTTAAATTAGTTAACAAAATGATTAATTTTTAAAAATCTTATTGTTGCGTCATTGATACTTGAAAATACTGGCCAATGATCGAAATGTATTTTGCCATCGTCATAAATTTTAAATTTTAAAAAGTAAACAAAACGAATTTTTTAAAAATTTAAATTTAAAAATCGTTTTATTAATTAAATGAGGTATGTAATTTTTAGTTTTATTTATATAAAATATTAAACAACTTTCCTGAATAAAAAAAATATAAATTTTATANATTTTATATTTCGGTGAAAACAAATTAAATTTTTTAAATTAGAAAATCGACACAAACTTTCAAAAATAAGAAAAAAATATTTTTTATTATACAAACTTGGAATTTTTGTTTCCTGACTTTTCGGGAATTTTAGAGAAAAATTTTCCTTAAAATAGGGAAATATCCCTTAATGGAAAAATTCTAAAATGAAGAAGAAATTATTTACAGTTAAGGAAATAATTACTAATTACTAGATATTAAATAATGTATCTTTTCCCCTTTGTAATGTAGGGAAAATTTTTTCCCTAATTCAATAAGAGGAAAATATACATCAGGGAATAGGAGAACAAAATAATATAAAAATAGGAAAAATTATTAGGGATAATTATTTAAACTAGGAAAAATTATTTTACTTTATTTTAAGAACAGGAGAATAATTTCTTCTACTTTTTTAAAAGTCATTTTTTTACAGATCTGTGCCTAAAAATTTCCTTTTAAAAATGGCAAGTTAAAAAAAATTAATTAATAATAATTATAGTCTTACAATAATTATAAATATTAATTTAAATATTTAAAAACAAGAATGATTTTTATTTTCATTTTGAATTTGCCTTTATAATTATTTAATTTCTAATATATTTTTTATTCATTAAAGCGTCAAAATATAAGTTAATTTGTTTATTTTCTGCAACACTTTGCAACACCTAAAAATTGCTTATTTTTAATGAACGAATTTAATTTCGTCAAACTGAAGATATATTACTGTGATAGAAGGGAATTAGTATTGTTAGTATAATGCTTTTTTATTGTTATAAAAAATACTGTAAATGCTAGTATTATTGTTCTGAAGGTTTATGAGGCTGCTTGGAGGTATAAGCCTTCAGAATTATATTGGTATAAGGCTGTTAGTATGTTAGATAGGCTGTCCGAATGGTACATTACCTCGATGTAAGGCTGTTAGTACTTCGTTATAAGGCAGGTAGTGTTGCTACGGTGATATATTATTAATTTTCGAGCGTTTAAGTGTACTTACCGAGGGTCACCGGGCGATTTTGGGCACTCCCGGTAGAAAAAAACGAAGCGACGACGATAACTAATCCAAATTGGCGCAGCATCTCCCCAAGTATAAGTCAAATATTGAAGCGGGGTATAGGAGTGTTAGAACCTAAGTAGATCCCGTTCGACCTGTCGACTGAGTCATACGTCTATAAACATAATCACTGCAGGTAAACCCGGAAGTGTGGTCCGGGACGTTTTTATATATGTTGGCCAAAAGGTCGCGCGATAGACGTTGTCTATAAGCTATTTTTCTACCTTCCTAACCTCGGTCAACGTTCTGATGGGTCAGGTAAAGCTGTTAAATCCTGAAGGCAAACTACAACCTCCTAAGGATCTGACCTTGAGATGCGCGAGCGGAAAGGAGCCGCGAAAGAACGTTATAGCAAGTTCCGTGTTGCACGTTTTCTCTTCCTGCTGATACTAGGCCACTTTCACGTCATCTATCATTCTTTATTGTCCTCCTTTGTATTGCCAAAATATATATATATAAAGGGAAACCGCCTTTAAACTTGTTCGTTCTTCTTATTTCTTTATTTTTGCTGTCTACAGAATTGCTCACTCGATAGACAATTGTGTACTTTGTCTCGTCTGGTTAAACAACCTGTCTCCAACGGACAAGTAACAATAAGGCAGTTCGAAACTTCTTCTATATTTCATCTACTCTAACTTACAACAGGAATTTTATCCTTTAAAGCTACGTTCCCGCTCTAAAAACTTAAAAATTTCTTTATAAATATTGCAAAATATATAAATTATTCTTATTACCACGTAAATTGAATTTAAAATAATAAATTTCGCATCATTTTACAGAAAAAATGCCATTTAACTAAATACAGAGAACAAGTTTTTGTATATTTACACCTTAAATAGGTACATTAAATGCTTTACAATTCGAAAAAATATTAAATTTGTAGCTAAATTTTTAATAAAATATTATTTTTAGATCGAAATTTAGTATCTGTGCCATTTTCCAACCTTTTCTCGACGTATAAGAGCTTGACATTATGAAAGAATTTGCTGGGAGTTTGGGGTTCTACCGGTTGAGTAACCATCTGAGAACTTCGATATTTATTTTATATATTTAACTTTATTCATAAATTAATTACGTTACATTTTAATTAATGCTCGTGTTTAAAATATACATATGCTTCTTTTATTTACAGTTTTTCATTGGTTAAACAGTAATTATAGAATTATTTACTTATTTATATTTTAGAGTTTTTACGACGGTTTATTCTCTTGCCAAAGTGGATTATGGAGTGACTCGGTTTCTGTTTCGAATACTTGAGGAAAGAATTCATTTTTAGGAACGTCAAAACAGGTGAAAGATCTCTTCTCTTCTCTAAAATGTTGTCATTTCTTCTCCAATTCCTCGCTAAACTCTTCAAAATTTCGTAAATTCTTCCAGTACTTTGATAATTAACACAGCTGCAGTCAGTAAATTCTGCCAGGTTTTCATTATTATGGCAGCAATTGCCCGGCTTATGGTCGAAAATTTTGCTCCTCTTTCGTGACCATTGTACCACGTGACTAATTCGACTCTTATCTTCGTTTTCCTTAGTACTTAACGCAGGCGTGGTTATAACTGAAACAATTTAATTTTTTAAAAGTTAATAGTCGAAAGTACGATTTAAAAATAAAATTTTTTGTGTGGACCTCGTTAGGGATTGAAGAGGAAGTTAAAGCTTTAGTCAAGTCTCGTTCTCACTTATTAGTGACTTCCGTTTGGGTGACCTTCACCTTTACAAGTGACAAAAAGACTTCCCCGCGGAATAACCACGTGCTTTGTCACTGTTAGCTGCATATGCCTAACCGTCCGTTATAGACAGGTTTTATTCTATAATTATATCAATAAAGTAGTACGATTAAAAGCTAGAATTTTACGAGTTTACCCTAGTTTATCAGTTAGTATGTTTATATATGTTACTAATTATAAGAAATACGTATTGATATATCATTTCTCAACTTTCGACAGAGCTTGGCATTATTTAAGTAAGCTTTTGGGGGTTGATAAGATGTTATTCTATTGTTAAGACTGAGTTTAATCGATTAAATTCCATCCTTAGTTACGTCATAAAGAGTTATTTTTGCGTTTTTAATCATAAATTCTGATCTAATTCTAATTTTACAAACGATACTTACCGAATAAACTGCAAAAGATGCATATGAGGATCCACGTGCTCATATTTATCACCACAAGTTCTGCGGGAAAAGCGAAAAGAATAGCAAAAAGTTTAATATTAATTAATTTAAAATATTTTAATTAAAATAATTATAAAATATCGCTTTTTTTCCAACATAGAAAAAATAAAAATTAATAATTTTAAAATAAAATTTTTAAATTTGAAAAGAAACAAAGTTGATCGATGCGCAATTATCTACAAAATAAAAAGAAAAGTTGCATGAAATTCTTGCTTAAAGCAACAAATAATTTAGTATTGCATGCAACAGCCGAGACGTTCAAATTAATAAATTAAAAAACGAAAATCGAAATAAAAATAGAAGAAATTCTGGTGAGAGAAGCTCAAGAACTTACCAATCACCTTGTTATAATTCCAGTTGTGTTGTCGCCGATAAGAGGTTATTTAAATGTTCAGGAAATGTCAATCTAGCTAACGATTGGTCAATAGGCACAGCTGTGCATACGTTGTCATATGATCCACGAATGAAGATGCAAACAGAAATATCGCTTTACTTACTTTTTCAAAAAAGTCTCCCTCCATTTTGCAAATTATAAACAGTTCCCACTAGATTATTTTCCTTCAAAGTTTTATTCGTTTTATCTTTATTTTTGAGTCTTGCAGAAGATTTTTATCTCGGAAAATTCGCGTTGCACATATTTTCTGCGACTCGAATTTTCATTACAATGCAACTCGATAATTACACCGATAAATTTTAATTAATTTTTTAATTTCTTTGATTTTTTAAGAGATTTTCCCAAGGTTAAGGGTGCATACTTATATATCTCAATTTGTGAAACTTTTTATGCCATCCCCGTTTGCCCCCCTCTGCACATGTCATTCTTTTTACAGTATATTATTTTGTGGTATAAATTAAACTAAGTTTGTGTAGTTTTTACATTAGATTCCCAGAAAATTTTACTAAAAATTAAGTTCTACATTCATTACTTTATCATCATTATCATCTATTACCCTCCAGCAATTTCCGCTCCACGTTATCTACCTTCTCTAAATTACCCATTTTTCTTATTTATTTACGTTATTTTGAGTATTTTAGTATAGTAATTTACATAGATAATCATGTTCTTAAGGTATATTTTAGGGCAACGATCTTAATTACATTAAAATTTATTCTGTGCGGTCTCTAGTAGATGCTGAAGGCGATAAAACACTTTAAGTGCACTTTAACACTGGCTACTTTGAATTTCTACTCACTTTACAGAAAATATTCGCATTTAGCGGCTCTTTTTTGATTTTTGACAAATTTGTTGACGTTTAAAAATCCCCAAATGCCACTCGATCTTCAAGGCATTAAGAAGAAATTCGATATTTCTTTTAATGGGCAAAAAAAAATTCCCACTCCAGTTTTATTGGCTAATTACCTACCCCACAACACTAGAAAGTTTACGTTGCAGGGTTTTAGAATAAAGAAAATTTTGCATATTTTGACTTTACGTTAAACGTAATTACACAAGTTGTTACGTTAATGAGATTTGAGTTAATTTCTAATGAATGCCAAGCGCCTTAGGTAACGTTTAGTAGATAATTACTGATATAATTGTATTTAGACGTTTCTTATTAGTTTTGATCGGTAATTGCAGTTTATCACGCCTTATACGTAATTGCTTTATTATAATTTCATTGAGTTGGTTGACGACATCGTTCTTTTGAACAAATAACCTTTATGTACTTTACCGTTTTCTTGATTTTGCCGAGAAGAATGTAAAATTAAAAGAAATTTAGTACTTTAAATCCGAAAATTCATACAAATCCAAGGCAATAATAATACAGAATTTCTAAAATCCCTTTAAAATTCTGTAAATTACCCTAAAAAATCCGCTAAAAATTCTCCAATCGAAATCTGTAGAATTTCTTTTAAAAAACAAACAAATTTAGAATATGTTTTGATTGCGAAAATATAAAAAAAATCATCTCTAGTAGGATGTGTGATCCTTACGAACTGTTATAACCTTAGCATACTTTTATGGCATCTATAAATTGATATTATCAAGGGGTTATCCACTACTTATAATGCATTATTCCCTCATTTTGTTTAGAAATATATAATGATTTTCATTAAAAAGTATTACACTCAATTCTGGTTGTTAAGCTTATATTTATGATTTTATGCCTATCATTTTTAATTAACGTTTGCATATGTTAAAACATTTTACACTATTGCTGCAACTGATGTAAGTTTACTTATAATAATTTAAATGTTTCTATCAGAAGAAATCGTCATTGTTGCAATTGATATATTTACAATAATGCAAATATTTCTACTGCCAGACACGCTGCCCTTCCAGCTACTGCCAGACAAGTTGTCTTTCTAGCAATGCAATTGTTATTGCCACTTGCTCTGGAAGGTTTTCAATCAATGCGAGTTGCTAATAATAAATTACAACACTACATTGAAATTAGTAACGTTCGTTCCCAGCGAAATGATTATTTGCTATTCATATATACCAATAGAATTTAAATTAAATTCAAATTTTTCTTTTTGCAAATATGTTAATAAATATTTAAAATTTTAGCAACTTAAAAGCAATTTTTGTAGCTTTGCAATCTTATAGAACCTCACAATTAGTGTTATTTCTATAACAACACGAAGTGGGTTTTATTATCAAAGGACATTCATTATATAAGACAACAAAAGCTTGTAAAGAAACAATAGCCGTTGGACAGTCGATTTTGACAGCGTGTCACGTTATTCTGACGTTATTATTTCATCAATAAAGAAATAATATATATATATTTAACCCCATCAGGTAGTCTGTTTCCTGTATGAGAAACATAAAAGTAATATTTATCTAAATATAAACAGACAAGAGACTAAATATCGAAAGATTTTTATTGTAATAAAGGTAAAAATAGTTTTATTTTTTATTTTTCGTTTTGTTTTTGTATGATCATAGTTGAAAGTACAATCAGAGGAAATTTTCAAAACAATACTCTTGATATATTTTCCAGATATTGCAGATTTTTTATGCCATTCTTGATTGTCTCGAAGGACAGTCAATTCACAAAAATATCACCTCACAAATCACCTCACATAATCACAAACAAATCACCTGACAAGTTCCAATCACTCGTTGAAAAGCGAATTTTGCATACATGTAACATTTTTGTTTTTACTTCTTGCTTAATTTAATCGGCAACAAAATATATTACACATTTAACAAGCAATTTAAAAAACGTACACGCACAATTTTCTTTTTTTTTTTAAATATAAAATATACAATTTCTTAAAATTTTATAAAAGCATATATATATATATAAATATATTTATTTATACATTATTAAATAAAAAATGAAAATAGCATTTAATAAATAGTAATAAATTAATAATTTCTTTGTTATAAATTAAGGCAATATTTAAAAAAAAAAATTCTTTTTAGTTGACTGGAATAAGTTCCATTGTTTCTTGTAAATTGGCAAAGAGAAGAAATCAGCAATCAAATTTTTGAGCATATTGGTCTTCGTGTTAAAAGGTTAAAGACACTTTGCATATCAACCTTTGTATACAAATCTTTAATGGCTTCCTATCAAATCCTTAATTAAGGTTCCCTGTTGTGCACGCCCAGGTCTGTTTCAGTGTTTACTTTCCCAGCTTGTATGTAACAGAGGGAAAGTATGGGCCCCCTAAGATTTTTACATTTTTGGAATCGGAGGACTTGGGGAAACGTCCAGAAATGCAAAGTTGGGGTGTTCCTATATGTATGGATGTTAGCTTGTGGGTGGCACCCACTTTGAAGCTTAATAACTCCTGTGTCTTTTGTCGAAAATTTCTGAAATTTTGCAGGAATATTTTTGTATTAGGAACATTAACACTGTTAAATTTTGGTGGTTGAAGGTCGAGGGAGTGGGAAGATAGACGAGGTCATTTATTATATCTCGCGATGGATCGGATTCAATGAAGATTTTACCCATTAGCATTTATAATTTTTTTAAAACTCGTCTAAACCCTGAAAATTGAGTTCTATGCCATTTTATAATAAGAATTTTTAAATAAAATTCGTAACAGTTGGCGCTACTCACAATTTTAACTCTTTCCAAGAAATTACACAACTTGCTGCCACAATTTTTTTAAATACCAGTAACAAGGAAAGAATCTTTACTTTGGAGGTGTCATCTATAAACAATCCTAACTGCAGGCCTTGAGTAATTTATGTCTAGTTTAATCTCGAAATCTAAGGTAATCGGTGGATCAGGAAAATTATACATTAGCATTCAAGATCAGCTTTTCAGTGATAACTTTATCACTTTAACCTTGAACTATCTTCCCATTTATAACAAAAGCTGATATGCAAATCAGCCAGTCTGGATGGTTCAAGTGGCATGGATGAGTACAGATTCTGTAGGATATGAATACTTCATTATATGTAAACATTAAAGATATGAAATGCATCACATGTATGGGCGGGCATCCTTCGAATTGGCCCAAATATTAAATATGATATTTACATCATTGTGAATGAGTTAAGTCAGAAGAATATTTTCACCATATGGATTACAAAAATCAATTTTTGTAGCAATCCGAAAAGTTCGAAATTTAAAAATTAAAATTATCCTCTAATTCTCTACATCTTCCATAGGTTTTAAGATACTGAATCTTAAACGAAACTCTCCCATAAAATAGTGAAGGCGAAATAAGTAAACTTAACGTACCGTAAGACCGTCGCCATCTTGATAACGGACACGTTTCGTAAATTTTATATCGAGTTAATTAATTAAAAAATATATACCGGAGTTAATATTTGCTAATGCGAGTTTATATACATTGCAATAATCGAAATATTTAGGATAAATATTAAAATTATGATAGATACAACGATATTCTATTGCGGGTATTTTGAAATCATCTGGTGTATTGCTTTAGTGATCCCTGAGTTTGCTTCAGTCGGCGAAGACGTTGCAAAGTACAGCGAAGAGCGTGCATGCGGCATAAACACCGAGAGCAATCCACCACATAACTTGCTCGTGCAACTTTTGTTCGAAATTCTTCAAAACCAACAATCCTATAGTCAAACCTGCCAAGGCACCTGTCAGATGCGCCACATACGACACGGGAGCTCCGTGATAGTCCAAGGAATAACGATTGTAAATTGCAAAGCCAACGTCTGCACTGGCTAATAGGGAAGAAAAATGATCACGTGCCATTCGAATATTCAAAGATAGAAAAATGTTCGTACTTACCCACTAGAAAAATTCCAATTAACCTCACTATTCCCAGTTCCATCTGATTGTAATTCTGTAAAAGAAATCGGTTGGTTTGCGATTCAGAAGGGAGGTTTTGACAAATCTATATGCAAATTATGATGAAATAAGTACAAAATAAACTAACCAACACTACATTAGCTAGGTGAGCGGCGAGAAGGGCATACACTCCTCCCGAAGCGCCAACCAAGTAAACTTTTCTATCAAAGACTGAAGTACCTAATGATCCTGAAAACGAGATTTTATTAAGTACAAAGTATATATTTAATTAATAAAACATTTTTTCTAGATTAAATATTATTAAAAATAAACACATATTCTACTAAATGGCAACATTTATTAATTATACTTACTAGCGACATCTGGTAATCGTTATACAAACTAATATTAAAATGGGTATTTTTCAGAATTTGTACGTCATTAGTTATATTATTTAATTATAAATTTTAAAAAAAATTACCCGCTAAAACACCAGCCATGTAGACTGTACCTATACGAAGCGATCCGTGGACCATTTCTAATGGGATTCCTACTAAAATCTGGACCAATAAATTGAATACTAAATGAATCCATCTGAAAATACGAGAAGAAAATTTTCTCAAGCTTAAATTTTTACAGAGAATTTTTATTTACTCGATCAACACAAAAAATTATAAGTATTATAAGTACAGTATATACATACACACAAGAAACTAAGAACCAAGCTGATGGAATTGATTACAAAAAGAAAAAAAACCACCACCTCAACTAGGTTAATAATTAAATATTAATGAATATCAATTTGTATGACGTACGAGGGTAAATTTAAGTGAAAAAATAAATAAAAAATTCAGTAACATAATTAGAAGTTTTCGTTCATTGGTTGATTTTTTTTGTAACTGAAACCAATTACAAGCTTTCGTTTAAAATTTTAAACGAAGCATCCTGATTGGTTCGTCGTTAATGCAGTTTATAACATGTAATTTACTTATTCAATGAAAAATTTTGATGAAACGGATATTTAAAAATGTCCCTTGACGTGAAAACAACTTTGAATTTTATTCTATAATTTCCAGAGCTAACGTTCTGGCTTAAATATCTGAAGATACATAAAGCGTGACCAAGCGAGAACGACCGTACGATAATTTAGTTTTATTATACAAATTTATACAAGAGAAATGGTCCTATAACCCAGAAAACATGTTTGAAATCTGGCATTCGCTTTATAAAAGTGATACAAAAAAACATTTTTTTCCACGAATTTAAAAAAATGAAGAGGGGAAATTAGAACCGTATATTAGAGAATTATAGATAATTTTTAGTTTATATGCTCTGTTGAATTAGCTTTAATGGTGACCTTTATACAGTATTAAACTAAAATTCTAGATTGTCTTATCATCTCAAACTTTTTTCCAGGACCATCGTTGGAACGACCAGTTAATATGGCAGCCTATGACTCTAAGGTACCAGGATGGGTCGAAAACATTATAAATTTTGAGGGCCCGTTTCTCACCAGCCGGCCGCCACATTGTAGGCCTGATCGAACCCATAATGGACTTGCTAATAAAGCCCTCTTAATGCTCACAGATTAGAATGAGTTTTAAAAAGTCCAACGCGGATTGGGAAGGCCCTCAATTGAGCGGTCGGGGTTTTTTAATTCTGTCTTATAAACACTCTTTATCAATCCATTATGGATTCGGCCAGACCCACAATGGGACGGAGTGTGGGACGTATTCGTGACAAACCACCCATTAATTTTCGAGATTGCTCAACCCGGATACGATTCCGTGTTTCTATATACTGTACCTCATATTAGTATACTTTTTATTCTGTATAGAAATTTATTGTTAATAGTATGTATAGGTTTAGATTCTTGTCTGTGTGTGTATATACAATTAATTTGCAGGTAAAAAAAAATATATATATATGCTTACCCAGCATGTAACACCACATAAAAAATAAAACGCCAAAATTGCGATCTTTTGTCAGGACGATAGATGAACATGCTGTCGATGGGTACTGGTCCTTTACTTGTAATGCTTCCCACCGTCACCGTATAATAAATAAAAACACTTAACTACAAAAAATAAAATAATATAAATAAATAATTATACATAGATTATATAAAGTATGTAAACATAAAATGCCGAATTAAATTTTTAAAATATAGGCGTTCTTCGAATATCCAATAATTCGAAATTAAATCCGTGACGTAACTGACACGTTTCGCTCATTCGCCGGCTATTTTAAGAGCGACCAATTAGAAGCTTTGGTTTAAAATTTTAAACGAAACGTCTTGATTGGTTTTTTGTTATTATTGACGCCATTCCAGTTTCAGAAAGAATCTTTGAACTAGAAAATAGAAGCAATCTGGAAAACTAAAAATAAATTGAAATGGTAATTTTTATCATTTTCTATCTATAAATATTTTATTTCCAATTTCTTCCTGAATTTTAGTTTTTTATTATTGGATAAATTTAGTTTTGGATTAAATTTATCACACACACACAAAAAAATAATAAATTCGAATGGAAGAGTTTAACTATTTCTCTTAGTTCTTTAAATCTATATTCGAAGAAGGGAAAAGACGGACATAAAGAAGCCTTTTTAACCCGGATAATCGGATAATTCTTCCATTTAACTTTAGATTGGAACCGTAAAAAGTTCCTGGTCTCTAGAGATGAAAGTTTTGCCAACTTTCTTTTTTTTTTTTTTAAATACAAATAAATCAAATTTTGTTGCTCCGTTTTACAGTTTGCACCCCTTAAAAATGCTAAAGAATAATTTCAGAAAATATTTACATGCAAACATCTTATCTAATAGCATTTTCTTACTCATTAATCTTTGGTTTACTGCGACAGTTCGAACGTTATTGCTCGTAAACGCGCTTATTTTTATGCTTAGCGAGAAGATAAAATTATACAGGATAACACCTTTTTTATCAGTTTGCAAATGAGTTTTCGTCTCTCTTCTAAGAATTTCCAATCTGATGGACACTACAACGTTTCTGCATTAAAACTGAGTGGATAGTTTTGTTAACAGATAAATCGTGCATCCTAAATTTTGTCACAACATGGGTTCGAACCCATTACTACTTTTACAGATGTTATATAACAGAGGGAAAGTATGGCGATCGTAATAAAATGACCACCCAAGATTTTTACATTTTTGGACTCGAGAGACCTTGAAGCACCAAGGAATGCAAGAAAATATAAAAAATTGAGGGTTTTTTTCTGTGTGTATGGATGTTAATATATGTATGTGGAGGCGCGATTTTGTCCATCCATTTTGAAACTTAATAACTCCTGTGCCTTTTGTCGAATATTTCTGAAATTTTGCAGGGAGGTTCATGTATTTGGGTCATTGATGCTGATAAATTTTGGTGATTAAAGATCGAATGGGTAGGGAGATAGAGGGGATGTCATGTGTCGTATCTCGAGTGGGGTCGGACTTAATGAAGATTTTACTGGTTATTAGGATTTACAATCTTTTATTAAACTCGTCTCCATCCTCAAAATTAAACTTTTTGTCATTTTATAGTAATTATTAATAATATAAAAAGTTTTAATAAAGTCACAGATAGCGTCACACACAATTTTAACTTTTTCGCCGGGAAAATTATTCAACTCGTTACTAGACTTTTTAAAATAAGTTATTCAATATTCTAACCTAAGATCGGTTTGAGAATAAAGAATTGGTTCCGATCCTCTATAGGATGAAACGTTCTTGAACCTTCTGTTAGGTCTGAGGGAGTTCGAACCTTCAATTTTCGAATATTCTAACTGAATAATAAATAATAGTTTCAGGTTTAGATCACACACGGGTTCGTGTTTTCAAGCATTTAGATACAGGAAGGAACCAAATATTGAAGGATAGGTTCAGTTTGAAAGGAGGTAAAGAAGTGAAGGATACAGTTCGGATCCACACAGAAATGAATGTATTTTACATATCTACATCACGGTTCACGTAGTAAGATTTGTTATGTGTTCATTTAAAAAATACACTTATATTGTTAATTAAATCATTCGTGAATTGCTTATTTACAGGCATGAACGGCGTGTATAGTGGGAAAACATGATGAAGTTTAGAGGCTTTTAAACGAAATAATTCGCAAAATCGCATTAATACTACTAAGCTAAGTATCGCGAGTCACGAAATGAATTGAATTTAATTAAATGCAGGAAACATTTACCTCCATTAAAGTGACAATGATGATAAAGAAAGGAGGAGGACAGCATTTGTAATTATCTGCATAGTATTTACGATCTCTCTCGTCTGGAAGGAATTCTTGCGCTATTATGTGAACCATTCGATGGAACAGACCCGGTTCTGACGTTAATAGACGAAAATCGTGTTCGCTCCATACCTCGCGATCTTTGTGATGGACAGCTATTTTAAAACTCCTCGTCCTCTTCCCACTCATCTGAAATTAAACGAATAACTTTTAAGTAGTTTGCACGGGTTGTTATATTCCAAAGTTCGCTAACCTGTATAAATTTACGTGCATAAGACGATCTCACACATGACACATAAGTGTTAAAGTTTCTATTTTATATATAGACCGAGATAAGATCTCGATCTCTACGACTTTTATGGCTATGGATACATTATTAATATGATGGGTGTTTCCGTAAATGCCAGCTTCAGAAAATTTTCTGAAATAAAATAAATTAGAAATGTAGAGCAGACTTCTTCGTAATGAAGCCATTCGTGAGAAAAAACTATGTCCAAACCGAACAGTTTACACTCCCCCCATAAAAGCGCACGTGTATACATTACAAATTACAATAGTTAGGAACATTTGACAGGTACGTAAACAAACAAAACGATAAACAGAGGCACGTGATAGCCAAACAAAAATGCAAATAAGGGGCCTACGTGGTCATCTTCAAGCAAAAGTGATCAATTTTGTTTTGTTTTGTTGCGTGGCTTCATGCGCTTTTCTTCTGTTATTTCATTGTTGAATACAAAGGAGCGAAAACACAATCGATGAAAATTTTGCATTATGACAGAAAATGACGTGTGAAATATTTATTCCGGAAATGACATCACCATCTCGACGCCTTTCCTCGTTTAAACGAGTTCGTTACAGGACATTTCTGGTATATAAGCATCTCTTATTTTACGTGTATGCTACGGATTCTTACGCATTATAATTGAACTTTTTAAATAAAATTTGCCACTTTGAAACAATGGAACGGTTTACTTACACTTTACTTCTCTGTACGTCACACTCTACATTTAAACAAACATTCGTTGCGGCGAAATATTCTTTCTACTTGCGACTCTCTTTTGTATGTAGACAAAAACTAATCATCTAATATTTTTGTTACGCTTCAAAATAAAATGCATGCATTCGAATAGGCAATTATGCGACCAGCCGTGACGCGACACCATGATTCTGTACGCGACGAGACGTCTCGTCGCGTATAATTTCCTCATAAATAAAAAATATTTATTTAAAACAATAATTTATATTCATACTTTAAACAATTCGCGTATATGCTAGATGTTGGGGACTGAGAAAAAATTATTATTATTATTATTATTACTTTTACAGGGACGGCGCGTAGGCGCACGAGTATACGCAAAATTGTTGAAATTTCGAAGAATTCTTCATTATATCATCCTACAATGAATTATTATCGTCAGCTTTTGACTGCCGTTTATATAATATAATATTATTTTTGAAAGTTAAACTGTTTCTCCTATATGTTGGCCGTTTAGAACAAAATGATAGCTGTTTAAAGCGTGCGAGCGAAACGACGCGACGCGACGTTTCGCTCGCACGCTTTCGCTCGACGTTTCGCGTCGCGTCGTATCGCTTCGTCTTGCACACTTATATTTTGTACTTTTAAATGATAAAGATAGAAACATTTCGATTAATAAAACTATAAAACAGTGCTTAATAGATTAATTTAATAACGAAATATAATAAACAACTGTTAGAATATACGACGCGAGATCGCATCGCTTAGAGGCGTATTCGCTTTGTTAAAACAGTGCATACACATCGATTTGACGTAACTATATTTTTAAATGTAAGCGTAAAACGACGTCAGATTAACGTAACAGCACGTAATATTGTGACGAAACGAATGTGATAACAATAGGATACTTACTACCGAGATGAAGTCTTCGAAGGAGATGGCAGAAGTTTTTTGTTCGGCAGCTTTAATAGCCAAGATCTCCCTCTTCCTGGGTTCTATAGCCTCCTGAAATTCCGTACTTTCTAAAGCTTCTAGAAAGTCGTCCCAAGGGATCTCGCCAAACCCTTCCGGATCAAACTAAAAAGAAATAAGTAATACAGCAGCTGGTGTTAAGCGAAACAAATCGAATTAGTATCAAATCTACGGGCTTAAATAATAAAAAATAAGGACGACCAACCTTATCAAAAAGCTGCTTCCACTTCTGAAAAACCAAGAGAGGAAAATTAATAGCGAATCCAGAGAATTTTACAAACTACACAATTTGATATCTCTTCTGGAAGATGGAACATATCCAATTTGTCGAGTGCAGATCGACCAATGGGAATAACTCTTACAATCAAATTTAAGCTATAGAAGTAAATAACAGTTTACCGGTTCCTTGGGGGATTGAAGAGATACCAATCGATTGAAAAATAAGGGAAAAAAATCTAATCAAATACAGCAGCCACTCGCGCAATTTCGAAAATTCAAGTTTTCTTACCTCACTGGGAGGCAGGAGGAAGGAAAAAAAAACAAAGAAAAAGGTGGAAATTGTGTAGTTTAGAAAAATAAAAATGATGAGAGGCAGTAGGAAGGAAAGTAATAAAATATTCATACGTCATTTAGTAAGGTATGGTGAGCTTCTAACTCCACTTCTTCTAAGTCTCCAGATTCAAACATGGCCACTGGCCATCTCATCATTTCTCGAAGCATAACGTCAGCTTTTATTCGTTTTGCTTTTTAATATCATTTTTCTATCGAGTTTCGAATCTGTAAAGACATAAAAAAAAGGAGAAAAATTATTAGAAATGCCCTGGGGATAGCATTAATTAATCTCCAAACGAAGTACAAGTACAACTCGTTATCTCTACAGCATCTTCGGCAACACTTCAGAAAAATGAACGATTAAATTTACACACCTCTCCTTCCCCCCGCTTTCATCTTAGAATATTTTACTCCGACTTCATTAAATCTGCAGAGGTGCTTCGGCGATCAATATTAAAATCCGATCACAACCGAGAAAATGTGGATCTGTAAAGATTTACTTCGTGTATTATTCCAGTTTGCAATGACAAAACGGGATTATTTGGGGTGGAAGAGTCGTTACAACAATACTCCAATCTCCTCCAGCCATTTGAATATTAATGAATTTCGCAATTAGTTTATTGAGAAAGTGTATTAAAATCCAATACATGGTGTAATCGCTCAATTTGGACTTGTAGCATTTGAGTGGCCTAAAAATATCCGCTAAGTAATAAAATTTATAAATAGCTACAATAAAATCTGCCGCTTTTATAATAGATGCGATGACTTTCACCTTCGTCACTGGACACTAATCCCACAATAGGTAAACGTGCAAATTATCAAACTTTTGATAAAGTTCTTATTGTGGTGATGAAAAAGTGTAAAAAGTCGTCATTGATCAATGATAAAATGATGTAATTCGACACTTCGAAAAACTGTATAATCAGTTTGTGAAATCTTATTAAGGAACACTTCAGAGAAATTGACTACTGGTCAGTTTATAAGATCTAATTATAGAAAAGCCTACACAAAATTGCTACTGGTCAGTTCAATGCTCCAGTTATAAGACCTTACAAAAGTGGCTACTGGTCAGTTTAAGGATCCAGTTGTTTAAGACGTTACAAAAAAGCTGTTGATTAAAATCATATAGTGTATAAAAAATACAGCAGTAAAAGGTGAACGAACAAGATACGAATGGCCAATTGTAAAGATGAGCCATCAAAATCTTTATACAAAAATGGCCACCGGGCAAGGACAAAATTGCGAGTCGTTAAAGAGCCATAAAAGATTCCTCGTTAATGTAGAATGTGACCTTCTAAATTAAAAAAAAAAAGTTATTCAAATTAAAAATGCCAAACAAAAAATCTTTACTTTGAATACTTTAACTAAAGATTCGATCCTTTAACGTCGAACTGCGAGAATTTACTTGGACGTAACTTATAAAAAATGGTTAAAAAATAGTCTTTGAAGCGAATAAAAATGTGGATTTAACTTTCTAATCTGGAAATTAATTAATCTAATAAATAAATATTAACTTTGAGAAGTGTAAAGTTGATTTTTCTCACTTAATATCCATCAACCTAATTTGGCAGATGTGTTGAATATTTGTTTACATTACGGTAATTTAATAGCGTTAAAAAAGATATAAATTATTACTCATCCTCGATTGTTATAAATATTTATAAGAATATTTCTTTTTATTGTATGAAGAAACCTTATACTGTTTATACGCAGAAAATTACCACCCGTGTATAAGTATCTAAATGTTATATTTTCAACCCAATCATCATAAAGTGAGGATAATTTATGACCATTTATTTTTAGATAAATGATGCAAATTCGCTTACTTATTATGCAATTTACTTATAACTTAATAAATATTTATACAACCAGACAGACAAACGGTACATGATAAAAGGCAGAATTTGAACCGAGTATATCTCCTATAAAGAGTTTTATATAGTTATAAAATTAGATAAGTGTACTCAGTTAATGATGATGATGATAAGTTGAGTGCATTATCATCAGGGGTTGTAGTGAACATCTGTCAGAAAACCAAACTATGCTGGGCTTGTTTATTTTACATTTAACTTCGAACAAATTTTATAAATATTTATTTAATAATATATAAATATCGACACAATAAGTGTTTAGGGTGTTAAAAGGTGACGTTTTTAGGTTACACCTTCGAACTTTAACGCTTGTTCGTCATCTTTACGTGTGTATACTCTATTGCTTTCTTCAATTTTTCACGAGTTTTAGATTACACGAGAGTGATGATGATATTTTTATTCCAAAAAAAGATGAGGAAATGATTATTATAATGATCATTTGATACATATTGTATGATAAAATCCTTGGAAACATCTGTCAAACTACAACTGTATCCGGTCTATTAAACAATCTCTCTAGATTAAAACGCATTTCTCACAGATTTCTATGTCTAAAATGACTTTAAATTTCGTAAATTATTCATGCCCTCTACCCTCGAGTCTCCGACTGTATCGAAGAATTTAATTATGTAACCCGCACGATAAGATTCGTAACAATTGTAGTATTATGCATGCATTGTTACGTCAGCATAGATACTAAGCTGACATAACAATACTTACGTCATCGAAGATAAAAAAATTAATATAATACGAATTAAACTGACGTAATAATGTATATAACAGTGCAGTGTTAGTGCACGTATAGTTACATACAATTGTTAAGTCAGCATGGATGCAAGTGTTTGGCCGACGGTGCGTGAAACATAAGAGGCGTGACTATCTACAGGAAAGTAAACCGGCTTTTGTCTATCGAGTTCATTCATTCTAGCAATTTGTACACTTTGTATCCACCTGTACCACCTTCCACTTCTCCCCCTCTCGATACTCAATAATTAATATGCTGGACTTAACTCACCTTCAGCGAGGCATGTCTCGATCCAATATACTGTAAGTTCTATGTTTTTCCGTATAATTTCCTGTGTCAAATTAACGTACATACGACGATGACCCTTCCGATGCTTACGTCACACTTACGTACAGCTGTACGAACGGGATCGACGTTTAAACCCCCAAAAATTATGCTCCGAGGTTGGCGAGAAGCCGGTTTCTCAATACTCCATTGTGTACGTTCTGAGGCCGAGTCCACAGCGCGCCGGAGGGGAGGATAGAAAGTCCATTAGCACGAGCTGGGGAGAGGAAGTTGGATGGATCTGAAAGGCAGGACGATGCCATCTCGTTACATTGCCGCATCGTTAATTATAATTAATTACCGAGCTGATTGCCAAAATGTGTTATACATAATTAGAATTTATAAGTTTTAACAGCTTTTAAATTTGTTTAAAATTATATATCTTGTTATATTTAATTTTTATTCTTTTTTTTCGGTTGTTTGAACGTTACGAGTGAGAGTTTGGTCGTTAATTTAGCCGAAAATGTTAATTTTTCAGTTAAAAAACTCAGGGAACGACTGGAATATGACTTTTTTAAACTCAAAATTCGAGAAATGTGTTCTATAAAAATGAAATTTCGCCTCTATCTAGCTAAGAAATTAACTTTTCGACTTCACAACACTCGAGATATTGTCGGAAAATTAATGTTTTAAATCTCCTTTCGGGAGAAAATCTCCAGAAATTCTTTCTGAAAAGATTTTTTTTCTTATTTTTTTAATAAAAAAGTATGAAAAACGACATTAAAAATGGCTATTTAATGCCACGTTCTACCGTGAAGCTTTCACAATTTATTTTCCTCCCGTTTTCTTATTTTCCTTTCTAATTTATTTATTTATTTTCGACATTTTTCCACATCCCTGACTTTTTCTCTTTCTTTTATTTTTTTTAATGCGATGTCATATGCATCACTATTTCTCTCCCTTTTTTATGCTCTTCCTCTCTAGAAATAACAAACTGCGTGCAATAATTAGAGTGAAAAAACAAAATAATTAAAATTTCTAGAATAAATTATTAGAAAGATTAAAAAACTGTGCGTAATTAATTTATCTTTACGCAATTTTATTGCATAACTTAATAAACGAAGTATTGTTTCGATGTGTTAATTGTAAATAGCAACAAACGATGGATCGACGCGACGCGATGCAATGTCAGCGCGCGTCGTAGCAGGCTTCACTACTATATTTATTTATTTATTTAAATAAGCTTCTTTTAAATATTCATTATTTTAATTTTAATGTCTAAAAGTAACGAAAATGTGCCTTTTAATATACTTAAAAAAATTTATCTATGGCTTCTTTTATATAATTAACAGCTCGTAAAATGTGAATTCGTGTCGCTCGACGCGTGCACCTTACGTAAATTTAAATTAAATGGTAAGAACTTTTTGAAACATTTCTTATAATACAGATGTAGATTTGTAAACATTTTTACATTACGATTTTGATTTACATTTATTATTATTATCTTTTATTATTATAATTACTTCGATAAGGTACGCGAAGCGACGCGGCGCGTGTCTGTCGGAACGGTAGCCATTTCGTTGTAAAATATATAATGGTCGTAAAACTAGCGTTATTACAGCTGTAACACGCTGGACAACGAATCGTTGCTCAAATAGTAAGGTAAAATATTGATAAATCGATAAAATCCATATCGACATCTCGACTGAAGTGTTTTTGATATTGACTGTCAGATGTCTGATCAAAATCGGTCGATTTTGATCAGATATTGTGGGCCTGGATGAACCCATAACCAATTCGAAAAAAGGCTTCTTAATATCCTCTGGGCTGAAAGAGCAAAAAAAATGAAAAACTAAAACCAACGGGGAGTTTTTTCTTCTTCTAGAGGGGAAGGGAAGGCTAGCTGCCCCTAGAAAAAAATTAAAGTAATTGACACACAGCACAGACCTCTCTTCCTCCCCACTTCCTCGAAACTAATATGAGTTGCCCCCCTCTAGTTCGGATCCTGGGTATGCCGCTTCAACGAAGCACAAATTAGATAAAGTAGAAAAGGAATATTTTCATAAAGAACAATTGATAATAACATCACAGAACCGTAATTTGTGACGTCATTGTCGATTTCTGATGCCGAATATCGTTTTCACCAGGGGTGTGCAATTTTCTGTATACAATTCAGATACATTTAACTGATATTGTTACGTGACATCGTGGACACAGTCAAAATACATAATGCAAATTTTTACAGTTGTGCCTCTTGTAGACATAATTTCATAATCAGTAGACCATATTAATTATTCAAAGTTTATATTGCTCTGGGGCTATGAATGCTTGCTTGATAAGCCATGAGTGATGATACCTACAGTATATTCATATTCCGTTTACAAGTAAAGCATCTGGTGTTAAGTTGTCCATTTACTACTGTTTTTCATTATTACTGAAATATTTTACTTGTAAACCTGGTATCTAAATAAAATATTATGAAGGAATTGTGATGTAAATATTATATAATACAAATGGAAATAAAGACAAGAAACAAAGCCAGCGAAATAATATATATCAATCAATGGAACCAGCAGTTATCTACTCATATTGTGACAATGCCACAATGGTGAGCTGCAATTTTTAATTAATCACGTGATTTCCAGTTCATATCTGGTCTCGATTTTCATCTATCTAACTCTGTTTTCGAGATTAACGAAGGACAGATGGACGACAGTGGGAATATATGGGTCTGCAATTTGAAAATTACAGCCCAATTAAGAAAATATGTTTCTGCAAGATGGCTGCGCCTTTGACTTGTTTCTACAAGATGGCCGCACCCTATGAAATTCGGGTTCAAATTCCATCCGGAATCTGCCGATTTTCCTCTATTTATTTAAGTTAGGAAGTTGTTTATCCAAGCTGTTCGATGGCAAGCCGGTCCTGCGTATAATGTTCAAAATTTATATAAATTAGTTAATTTTTATAACGTAGTAAAAAACCGTTAAATTTCGATGCAGAGCGTGTAAATTCAAAGCCAAGATTTTGTCACATGTACTGTAAAGTTAAATTTAGAAACTGATAATGAAAATGCACATAACATTAATATTAATTCAAATAGAAATGGTAATTTAAGCAAAACAATGTATTTCTGTTAGGCTCTGCATCACGCAATGGTCCAATTTATTATTCACGTTTAATACGGTATTACTGATTATTCGATTAATATTAGTCTCGAGTTACCTAGTCCTAGCTTTTAGACAATGTTATTGCAATTTGTATACTAAAAATAAGTACTGTATTCTATTCGAAACTGGTGAATGCAAGCATTCGTTATCTCAGGAACAACAAAATAATTTAATAAATTGACAGAATTTAAGCTTGTTAACCCCCAATTTATAAATAGAACGAAAGCCATAAACATTAATTCAGAATAATGAAAACTGTTGTAGATGCCACAAAACACAAAAACTAGTCTTCTAAACTAGTCGCTATGCTACAAATTTCTGGTAGGAGTGCCACAAAATTTCAAACATTTCATACAAAATATTGCAGATCTTCAAAATTGCATTTCATTTATACGTATAAAGAGTATTCATTTTCCGGTTTGTTGTGTATATAGCATGGAAAAGTACAGGTAAATAGGGGCCAGTTTCTCATAAATGACCACCCAGGAGGCATTCCCCTTGGCAAATAGCGCATGTGTTATGTTGCCATAAATTTTTCCAGAATTTTTGAAAATATCGATGTTTTCAGACCCCCTAAACCTATAAGGTCAAAAATAAAAGAATAAATAAAAACAAAAAAATCAGTGTTCATATGTTTCGTTTAATATTTCAGGAGGGGGGAATGGTTAAGAAAACAAATTTGGGCATTGATAAACGGCATAACGAATAAAGGCATTGATACTATTAAATTCTAGTGGTTAAAAATGTGGAGGAAGTGGGAAGATACAGGGGATCACGTATCATATCTCGAATAGAGTCGGACTTCTATTTTACTCGTTATTATCATTCGCAATTTTTATAAAACTCACCTCTAGCTTCAAAATTAAGCCTTTTCTCGTTTTATAACAATTCATAATATAAAAGTTATTTTTTAAAACAAAATCTCGTAACATATGACACCACAATTTTGTGTTAATAGAGAGGTCGCGGCCGACATTTTCATCGCGAAAACGTGTACGTCATACGTTCAAAGCCGTCTTCCTGTAAGCCTAGAAGTTTGACAATGGCGTTTGGAACGTCGAGCATGATTCCACTGACGTTCCAAATGCCATTGTTAAACTTCTAGGCTTACAGGAAGGCGGCGCTTGAACGTCTGATGTACACGTTTTCGCGATGAAAACGTCGGCCGCAACTTCTCTAATATGTCAGTGTTTTTCGCCTGGAAAGTTACGCAACTCGTTACTGGATTTTTTTTAATAATACGAGTACATAGTGTAAAGTATGAAGTTATGCAAAGCGTCAGCATGAAAAGCAATTAGTAAAGTTTGTTTTAGAGAAAATAGGTTAAAATTTAGACAGTTTCCTAACATAAAGGTTTAGAAATATTTTTAATTTAAATTACATAAAATTAAAATGCAAGGCAAATATTTTTAATGCAGTTTACTTATTTCGCATGATATCGAAAATCAAATCGATGAATCGTTGTCTGCATGTAGCACGTTACCCTATGTCTGATTTCAATAGGAAAATATCGTGTTACTTTTCAGAAATGAATGATACATTTATTCTCTTCGAGTTCGTTGTAACTTGTGAAATATGCAAATACCTGCATTGCTATTTAAATGACAACTTTCTGAAATTGTTAACCTTTTATAAATTAATAAGTTTTCTGTTTTTATTTTTTACCTTCCCGGCTGCTATATATAACAGAGGGAAGGTAGGTCGATGGGTCAAAAAATGACCCTTCCAAGTTTTTTATTTCTTGACTCGGAGATCCTCGAAATGTCGAGACATGTAAAAATTTGGGAGTTTTTCTGTATGTATGAACATGGCCTTCTCGTATATATCAAGGCCTATTCTTAGCTCCTCAATTCCATTGTTTGGAGTCTGTCAAGGCAGTTTCATGATAACGTCGATAGGGGCGCTGTTACAGGCCATGGAATGCCATGTATTACATATGAGTTAAAATGAAAAAAATCCAAAAATAATTTATTGTCACATTTATTTTCCAAAAATCTATGTTGGATCTATAAGACCGTGTTTTTATTTAACTATTCTTGAGAAAATTTATCGTTTTTTCCTATTAATTAAAAATATAAAATAGTAAAAACATGCTTTATTCAAAAACTATTATTTGCACTTAATTAATCAACTATTGTGTTATTTGCATTTGCGCTCATACAAATAAAATTATGCGAAATAACTTCACCAGAAACGTGTTCAACTAGTACAATGCCATTGAAGATGAGCATAACTTGTAATAGGCTCCTAGCGACAAAACCGTGCGAACTGGCTGGCAGACACTTTTTGAGGCTAAGAACAGGCCTTCATATGTATGAGAAGGCCATGATATGAACGTTAGTGTGTATAGGAGGCGCGATTTTGTTCACCTACTTCGCAGCTTATTAACTCCCGTGTCTTTTATCAAAAATTTCTGAAATTTTGCAGGAAAGTTTGTGTATTAGGGACATCGACAGCAACACCCGCAGACTATAAAAAAGGGCATCATATAATATCCAAGAAGCTTCACACTGTGATTTAAAGTCGAATCAGCAATCCCACAAAGTGGCACTGGTTGCAATCAAGACTAAGAAACAAGGAATGATTTTTAGCCTTCTTTTCAAGGCCAATTTTTGGTCAACATACGATGAAGTTACATGAGACAATGGATAAATATCTTTCATTAGCTTTTAGAGCCTGTACACACTAGGCGTTTTTCAACGCGCGTTTAACGCGCGTTTTAAAGAACCAAGAGTTCTATGTAGCCGTACACACTCAAACGCCAAGCGCGCGTTTAACGCGCGTTTATAGATTTTTGTTAAAACGCGCGTTTTGCGGGCACTTTACGGGCGCTTTGAGATATATGTGCTGCCTTATAGCGACGATGGAGGAGCACACACAATCAATTACTTTCTCGTCCATTTCCAAACTGAGCCAGTGCTAAACGCCGAACTAACGCTCGTCGAACGCCGAGCTAACGCGCGTTAGCTCGGCATTAAGCGCGCGTTTAACGCGCGTTGAAAAACGCCTAGTGTGTACAGGGCCTTATTGTACAGTATATGTATTCAGAATAGACTAGAAGTCACGCATTTTCTGTTATTTGTTAATAATGGAATTTGAGGCTTTTTGGTGATTAGGAAGAAAGCAAATCAGACAAAGAATAAGGGGACGTGCCCCAAGTACTCCAGTGTACGGCTACCCCTGGACATCAATAATATTAAATTTTGATGGTTAAAGTCGAGGAGGAGGGGAGATAAAGACGGTCACGTGTCATATCTCCAGTGAGGTAAGACCTAATTAAGATTTTACTTGTTATTAGCATTTTAATTTTTTTTCTTTTCTTTTACAAAACTCGTCTCTATCCTGAAACGAAGCCTTTTTCCCATTTTAATAAAATACCCTAAAAGATGGCTCCAAACACAATTTTAACTATTTTGCAGAGAAAATTAATCAGCTTATTGAAGGATTTTTTATAGTCGACTATATGGTTTTATGGAATTGTTTCATAATTAAGATCAAAATATTCTCATTTGAATAGGTAAAATTGCCACATTAAACTATGCCAAAATTAAAAAGTAAATAATAAGTTATATATATTATTTTTCCATTAATTTCCATATATAGTTGAAAGTAAATATCAAGGGAAAGAAATGTGAAGTTTGTCCTCGAACACTAGCGCGAGGCTAATTTGAAGCTTCTTAGTGGAAGTCCAATTCCTTCTATCTCATCACCTCGGGCGGTTCGTTAGTGTTACTCGTAATACGATTTGTACACATCAGAAATTAATTGAATTGAAGAATTGTGTCACGTGTTAGTTGTTTAATAAAAATTCGAACAGTCGCCGAACATACGTTCGGATAATCGATTCGCATTCAAGGTTCGATCACACAAAAACTATGTGAATATTATTGAAAGTAAATATTTAAAAACTTATTTTTTATAATTCTAATTTATGCACGTTTCAATACTTTTTGTAAACTCTTTTCGCCCTTGGGCACTAAGAGGGCCTCTTTTAGTAAGTCCATTACGGGTTCAGCCAGACTTACAATGGGACGGCCGGGTGATGAAGGAATGGCCGATATATCGGGATGGACCACCACCTGAAAAATTTCTCGCTAACGTGCTGGCCACGTGGAGTTTTTCAGGCTTTTTCACACATAAACAGGGATTACTTTCTCAGAAAATCTTTCCCGGAGGCACTAACATCCTGAAAAATTCCTGGGTTTTTCGACTCGTCCGAATTCGATCCCGGGTCACCCAGGGAAGTAGGCTGTCACTTTGACCGCTCGGCCATCCGGACGTCTATTTCAATGCCTGTTTACAGATGGCCTGATGGACGGGCGGTTAAGATGTCGGCCTACTTCCCTGGGAACTCAGGATCGAATTCGGACAAGTCGGAAAATCCCAGGAATTTTTCGGATTGTTAGTGTTTCCGATCCTTTCTATGAGAACGTTAGCCCGGAAAATTCTACGTGGTCAACAATTTGGCCAGGAACGAACCCGCGAGCAACTTACCAATGTTCAGTGGTTTTATTCACTCGGCCACTGGTGGGCCATATTCGAATCATTTAAGATCTGATAAAGTTTACAAGATGTTACTTATTGAAGAAGTGTCGCGTGAGGGTTGGTAACAGATCTCAAATTTGCTCATTACGAGTGGCCAAGTTTTATGCAGGCGAATTGCCAAATCTAAGAACATCAAGAATATATATATATATATTTAAAATGACATTTATAACATGAATATCGTTTCTGAATAATGACATTTGGCATTATTCAAAAATAACGCATTACACAGTCATTGCTGAGTCACTCCTTAACAAACTTTATAAACAAGTAATTCGAGGTATTGACACCTCACCACCCGGCCGCTTCATTGTGGGCCTGGCCGAACCCATAATGGGCTTGCTGAAAGAAGCCCTCTTAGTGCATACAGGGCAAGAAAAAGTAAAAAACCGAATATACAAGTTTTTATATATATTCTGAGAGGGAAGCATTGATTTACATTTGTATTATTTGCGGTTTTGAATGTAATATGGTATGTACAGGGTGTTTATAAATGAATGGCGCGGTTTTAAAAATTAATAATAAATCTATTTATTACCTTATATGGCAAACCTTACAGCATAAGCAGCGGCAACTGTCCAAGTTCACAGGAATGTACACAAGCTTCTTAATCGTGTTCTTCTCCAACGCTGGGTTGGACTATATGAGCTGCTCTCCTAGTCACCCCGTTTGCCAGATTTAACACCCTGCGATTTCTTTTTGTGGGGGTTTGTTAAAGACCAAGTTTATGTACCGTCAATGCCCTTGTTCCTTGAGGAACTGTGTGATTGAATAAAGCATGCACTGCAGACCATCACTGCAGACCGCTCGGCCATCTGGTTGAAAAATGCCTGGGATTAAACGCCGGGGTTCGATCCCTATTGCCTAGAATGACAGGTTGACATCTTTATATTGTCGGCTGTCCTGCCGTTGTGGGGTTGGTTTGATGGGATAAGGCAACGTAACACATGAACGATACATATGGAGAGTGCCTTTCGGGAGGATTTTCTAAGGGAAACTGCGCCTATTTAGTTGTTACACAAGCGAAGAAAAACCGGAAAACTTCAAGTAGCCGGACCGTTGCTCGAACACGAACCGGTTGCCCTTACTGCGAGCTCTGTCAAATTCGTGATGAATGTATTATAAACAACCACAAAATTGTACATAAAAGAATTGTTTAATAAAAATACATAAGAACTATTTTTGTATAACGAACGAATTTCAAAAACAAAACGTGGTTACAGTTAACCGAAGATTAATACAATAGATTTAGATGTTTTGTGTTTTAATGATACAATTGTGCTTCGTCATACTCTACGGCTATAGTTTTCCATTAACATATTTTATTGTAATTTCCATAACTAGTGAAAATCGAGGTTATAATTCAACATATGCACATGTAAAGAAACACGTTACATAAAGAAATGAATAAAATGAAATGGTTTTCAAGGCCATTGAACATTATTAAGGTTCTGCCATATATATTTTTTGTTATTAAAAAAATTAACATTATACAAATGTAATATTTGGCCGAGCGGTTAAGGTGGCAGCCTACAATTCTGGAGAACCCGAATCTAGACGGGTCGAAAAAACCAGGAAATTTTCCAAGTGGCTCCGCATCATTGTAGTCCTGGTCGAACTCATAATGGGATTATTAGAAAAAGGCCTTTTTAGTACCCGCAGGGAGGAAGGAGTTTTAAAAAATGTCGTATTAGTCTTCTATTTTTTAAAGTTTATTGTATTTCTTTTTTTGAAATTAAAAATTTCGGAAAAAAATTATTTTTTTCTTTTAAAGACATGTTTTTCGTCAAACTATAAAAGTCACAATGCTGCCGATGGCTTCAAGTACCTTCTTTAGTTGACTTGTTTTATAAACTCGTTATCTATAAAAGAAATGCCAGAGCCTCCCCAACCTCGTTACTCCTTCTTGCCCTCGAATGTTTTTATTTATTCTAAAAAAAAAAAAAGAGAGAGAGAGAGAGAGAGAGAGAGAAGATAAAGGGTTTCAGGTTTCAATCGATATAACAGGTAGAACTAACGGCGACAAAACTCCTGAAAGACGTTTCAAAAACTGACCTCCCGTGATGATATACAAAGTAGATGCTGTTAGATAGCGAAAGGTGGCGCAAGATGGGGCCATGGGGTAAGACGGGGAAGTCAGTTTATTCGCGGTTAACGCGCTTTCATCTAGCTGTTATTTGGGGAACTAAATGTCAACCTCAAAAGAGATCACGGAAAGAGAGAACGTCCGAATCGCTCTTTTTGTTTGGAAGTAAGACAGTTTTCCACGTTTCGGCAATACTTCATCTAATTTTACGCCCGCAACAAAGTTTCTACAAAGTAAGCATCATTGCGAACTTTTACATTACCTTTTAGATGAAGATATTATGGTATTCGAAGTAACCTTTAAGACCGAAATTGTTTAGTTTTGAAATAAAGTTGACCCGTGTTTGCAGTCAATATGAAAAGTGCACGTTGGGGCAAGATGCCCAACGTGCACTTGGGCAAGATGGTAGGGGCAAGATGGGGTACCCCATCTTGCCCCTACCATCTTGCCNGCAGTTATCTACTCATATTGTGACAATGCCACAATGGTGAGCTGCAATTTTTAATTAATCACGTGATTTCCAGTTCATATCTGGTCTCGATTTTCATCTATCTAACTCTGTTTTCGAGATTAACGAAGGACAGATGGACGACAGTGGGAATATATGGGTCTGCAATTTGAAAATTACAGCCCAATTAAGAAAATATGTTTCTGCAAGATGGCTGCGCCTTTGACTTGTTTCTACAAAATGGCCGCACCCTATGAAATTCGGGTTCAAATTCCATCCGGAATTTGCCGATTTCCTCTATTTATTTAAGTTAGGAAGTTGTTTATCCAAGCTGTTCGATGGCAAGCCGGTCCTGCGTATAATGTTCAAAATTTATATAAATCAGTTAATTTTATAACGTAGTAATAAACCGTTAAATTTCGATGGACAGCGTGTAAATTCAAAGCCAAGATTTTGTCACATGTAACTGTGAAGTTAAATTTAGAAACTGATAATGAAAATGCGCATAACATTAATATTAATTCAAATAGAAATGGTAATTTAAGCAAAACAATGTATTTTTGTTAGGCTCTGCATCACGCAATGGTCCAATTTATTATTCACGTTTAATACGGTATTACTGATTATTCGATTAATATTAGTCTCGAGTTACCTAGTCCTAGCTTTTAGACAATGTTATTGCAATTTGTATACTAAAAATAAGTACTGTATTCTATTCGAAACTGGTGAATGCAAGCATTCGTTATCTCAGGAACAACAAAATAATTTAATAAATTGACAGAATTTAAGCTTGTTAACCCCCAATTTATAAATAGAACGAAAGCCATAAACATTAAGTTAATTCAGAATAATGAAAACTGTTGTGGATGCCACAAAACACAACCTTCTAAACTAGTCGCTGTGCTACAAATTTCTGGTAGGAGTGCCACAAAATTTTAAACATTTCATACAAAATATTGCATTTCATTTATACGTATAAAGAGCATTCATTTTCCGGCTTGTTGTGTATGTAGCATGGAAAAGTACAGGTAAATAGTGGCCAGTTTCTCATAAAAGACCACCCGGGAGGCATTCCTTTCGGCAAATAGCGCATGTGTTATGTTGCCATAAATTTTTCCAGAATTTTTGAAAATATCGATGTTTTCAGACCACTAAATCTAAAAGGTCAAAAATAAAAGAATAAATAAAAACAAAAAAAAATCAGTGTTCATATGTTTCGTTTAATATTTCAGGAGGGGGGAATGGTTAAGAAAACAAATTTGGGCATTGATAAACGGCATAACGAATAAAGGCAT